CCCCCCCCATCGGTCTCGACAGGATCACTACAGCAGGAATGTTGCCATTTGGTCAGTCAAGCATCCATCTGTGGAGCTCTCTGTGGATCAGACATTTGTGGCTGGGCATAAGGAGTGTTGCAGGGTCATTGAGGAGACATCTTGTACACCCTGCTGTCTCTCTCTCTCTCTGGCATCTACTGTCAGTCACACTCTCAGAAATCTCAGCTGTCAATCAGCACTTCTCCAGGCCCCAGGCAGACAGGCTTTGGCAGACTCTAGTCTGAAGATGGCCCCTGACTGCTCACTAATCAGCTAGCACCAACAGTGAGAGTCTTTTTGCATACAGGAGTTATTTCTCATTCCCTCTTCTCTCCCACTTCCTTTGCTTTTTGAAGTTATTTTCTTGGCTCATAAAAGTGGGAGAGTGACAACAGAAATGGAGTGAGGGGAGGTCTCATTTACACATGTCTAAGTCATTATCACAACATGCCTGTAGGACAAAATAGGAGAATTTACAGAGAAATATCCACAAACACTGCCTATTGTCTGCAACTGAATTTCTGACAAAGTAGTGATGACTTATGCATCTACTCTGTATGATAGGGCATTCATTTACATTTACATTTACATTCAGCTCAACAGCACAGGAAGTCCACAAGGAATAAAGCAGAGGACCGCTTTAATGAAATGTTATCGACAGATCCCCACAAGCCCAGATAGCCTGAGCGAATCCTGAGCGAAGGGTACCTCTTATTTTGAGTAGGTTCAGACACTGGAGTAAAGCTCTTGCCCTTTCGATGTATTGAATGAAGAATGAACTATCTATCGCTGAAATCATTTTTAATTTATGATGTAATATTTTCAGTTAAGAAAGAAAGTAATATATATAATTAGTCTTTAATGGCACTTCCATTATGTCATTCTTTGTTTGAATCTTAATAGGCACAATATGTAGTTTTTTCACTACAAGAGGGCGCTGTTTCCAATAATAACAAAGGCGTAGGCGCACTCTTTATGACGCAGTTTTGGGCTGAATGATGGGACTTGCTGTCAAGCTGATGGATCTAATATTGTTTATGGATGAGTGCAAACATTCATGTTTTTTAACATTACACATTTAACATTTAATTCTACTGAACTACCCGCAAGTGCTGGATTACTCACACAGTTTATTAGACGAATTCAACTTGTGAGGCAACACAGCGCTGTGGTGTGTTTGTTAGCTATACGAAACTAGCATTAAGCTAGATCAACATTAGAATAACAAATGACCATATTATAACATTTAATCATGTTGAGCTAACGTTATATAACTTTGATTTGTTTTGTACATTTGCTCACCTGTCTAATAAAGCTGTCGAGTCGTGACTCGTGACTGTACGTTCACACCGCAGTCGACTTGAGCTTCCAAAGCGGCCGGAAGTCATTCATTTTCAATGGAAGCTGGCTTTTCTCAGCTGCAAGGAGCGACAAATTTATCAGCGTTTTTGTGCTACTTTGTGAACGGCGTTTTGGTGAACTACAACATACAGTAAACTATTACACGGTTCAGTGGGAAAAAAAACAGCAACCAATCGGAATATAGACGTCCTTCGCACCAGCTGATTCTGGAGAAACACAATGTAATCTTTCGTTCCTACATTTACATTTATACATTTAGCTGACACTTTTATCCAAAGTGACTTACAATTGCTATATATGTAAGAGGTCGCACGTCTCTGGAGAAATTAGGGGTTAAGTGTCTTGGTCAGGGACACATTGGTGTCTCGTGGTGGATTTGAATCTGGGTCTCTCACACCAAAGGCATGTGTCTTATCCACTGCGCCATCACCACCCTATACCAAAACCAAAACATCCTACCAAAACATTAGTTAAAAAAATGGAAGAGAAGCTAGTAATCGCCATTGCTTGGTTTCCTACAGGTTTCCTATCATTTATGACATGACGTTGTTTGCTTATAGGGACCGCATGAGCGCAACTTTTATTTGAAATATTTACAAACGCTCGTTTTAAAGTGGGAATGCAAATTATTTGCTCACGGTGACACCGATTTGACCAATTGCATTTATAGCGTAATGGCTAATGCAAATAATAATAATAATAATAATAATAGCTAACTATTCTTTTTTTACCCACCAAATGTGACCGAAATGGCTGTCATTATAAAAGGTTTCTTCAATGTATTACTTAATTTTTCCGACATTTCATGTTGTGACACTTCTATTCTCCCTGCATCGTCAGAACGTTCAAAGCGTCAACAAGCTTACTCGTACTTTTTGACAAGCATCCTTCATAGGGCGGCCAAAGTTTCTTTGACACTCCAGTCGGCTGCAGTGTGTGTGTACATTGAAGCTCTGTCAAGTCCGGACGGAAGAAGTTTGTCGCGGACGTGGAGCTCTCGGCATCTCAAAAATGCCACGCTGATATTGATCCTCATTTTAGTTCTCCTTGTTTGCCCCAAAGTCAGCTTGCTATGTTCTGTGTTTGAAAGAAACAAGAACTGGGTGCCGCTAAACGTTACGTACTATGCAGTTGTCCACATCTGTCACCATGGTTACGTCATGGGTATATCAGTATGACCGGAAACCGAGGAGAGCACGGACATTGCGTCATTGACAGGCGACATTTTTTTTCCGGGACGGCCACTTATTTAAAATTGGAATTTCTTTGAAATAAAACTTTTTGGAGATTTTTGGGATATTGCAAGTAAAAAATTCTTACATATTGTAACTTTTAAAGTGATAAATTCACCCAAAATTCGGTGTAATTTATTTACCCTCAAGTCGTTTCAAACCTCTGAAATGCTGAAACATCTATGACTGAGTCAAGAAGTTGAATTTAAGGACCGGATCATTGATTCTTGAACAGTTGAAGGACCAGATCAGGTTGAATCAATATTGAATAGTTCAGACCTTTTCCAAGCGTATTTACGGTTTAATTGAAAAGATTCCATTCAAAAGAATGATTTTTTTTTTTTTTTCACAAATCAGATATCGCTTTCTTGGCAAGAGGGTGAGCAAATGATAACTTTTTAAATCCTGAATTATGAAAGGCGAAGGTTTTTAATGTGTTTTTTCCCCATCATCTTACAGTGATCCTCTAAGTTGCCCTGTCTGTCTTTTCAGCCTCTCTCTCTCTCTCTTTCTCTCTCACACTCTTTCTTGATCTCCTGTAGAGGTCACTGTATACCAGTCTCATGTCTTTTTGTCTCCATACACGTTTGTTTGACATCTGATATTACATGTTATTTGTTTGCTCGGATCTTATTTTTTTATTTTTCTAAATCATACAAGCCCATGTTTATCTTTTCAATCATGTTTTTTTAAGGGCGGAAGTAGTACCTTGAGCTGCTTTATGACGTAATACCCCCTCCTGGATTTTTGCAAAACTTAAGCAATGTGGAGAGCCGAACTACAACAGGAATGGCATTATCTTGTATTTTGCCAGTTCTGTTACAGAATAGTGACTGGGTCTTGTTGTCACACTTTTTACTCATTTATCAATTCTCATGGTCCATTTATGTATTGGCACATCATACAATATAAGCTGGTAAGAATAAAATGTTATTGTCGTTGTTAGTACACAGTTATACAGAAATATATTTAAAAAATGTTGACCTTTTGTGACAATAATTTTGGGCACTATATGCGCTAAGTTGTCACAGTGGGCATAACGTCCATAACGGGCATAACGCATAACAGGGGGTATAACAGCACAACAATTCGTAAAAAGGCAAAAAAAAATGGTATGCCGAAATACCAAATAAAAAATTATATTAAATTACATTATGTAGATAAAACATGAAATTATTATATATTACTACATCCTTTAAATCATAGTTTTGTTTTAAAAATAATTTCTTTATAATGGTAATTTAAGAGGTTGTTCGGAGTGGCTACAGAAAAAAGAGTGCAACCGGACCCATGCGAAAACAAGGGTAATATCAGAAGGGCATTAAATGTAGTCACGCAATGCTTTTATAACATTAACAAATTGAGAACAAAGAATAGTTTGCACATTTTAACGTGATATGATAAGCGATCATTATTTAATCTGTCCGATTTACTGCAATGCTTTTTTTCCCCTTAGTTGGTTAGAACAAAAGTAGATACTTGTTTAGATAACATTTTCCGGTAAAAATTCTTATGTTGGTCATACTTCCAAAAAAGTAGAATCTGTGATTACGAATGCCAGTATCCACACCGATGCGGTGACCGACAGCCGCACATTCTCCTCAAAAATTGGATTCATCCGCACCGTGCCTTGCCGAGGCACAACCCACGTAAAGTTGATAATTCCGCGAATGACTGCTTTTGCAGATTTGCAGATGGTGAGAAAGAGAAAAAACTGTTGATTGGAGCTTTAAACCAACATACAAAAATAAGCATTTGTGACTTTATATTTTCTGTCAGAATAGTCCTGTTACAACTTCCCTTTGTGACAGATCTCCTGCTTGTACACAAATATGTCATTGCGAAAACAACCATAAATGCCTCACTACAATGGGTTATACACCAGCCGTATATTGGGAGATAAGTCATAGGATTAGATTTCAGGCCATACAGATCCATTTACCACATCTCTATCAGTGGTGGCATTTTAAAATGTGATGCCATCTGGTTATGATGAGAGATGTGGTGGATGCACAGGCAAGGAAGTATAATCTGAAGCTAGATGTTTAGCAGAAAGGGCTGTATGATGCTCTTGATATGAATGATAATTAATAAATAGTCAAGTGAATTTTAAGAGGATTTATGCCTCATGCAGGTGCTCATTTAAATCTTATATAAGTGTTTAAATGCATCAAGATGCAAGCATTAAATGGGGAATATGATTCTGTTGATGAAATGTAATCAAGGCTTCCATCCACATTATATGGAGAGCCAGTGAAGTGGATGGGATCTCTACTTAGTGCTTTAGAATATATTTCATGAAATACCACAGCAAATTAACTGTACAAGTTCACTGTAGTCGCATTTTAAAAGGGTGAAAATTAACCCACCCTCTTGTTCCTCTAGGGGATTGACTTTGCGTCCTTTACTGGTTACATGTTCCTGGGAATCTGTCTGGTGTTGCTGACCTCATTTCCTTTTCTGAGAATGCTGTACTGGAATAAGAAACTTTACAACAAGGAATCCAGTGAAATCGTGGGTGAGTATTAATTTATTCTGCTCTGCAGTAGCACATCAGGTTTCCCAAAATCGCTTGGATCTATCCTCAAGTGTACTGTGGAGAAACTCGTATTTCCTTCCTTTATGATTCAAGCGCTTTTGTTTTGACATGTGCAATAAAAAATTTATTCATAATCCCATTGACCTAGATCTTAAAGAATGAGCAATCATTTCTAAAAACCATTGAGAGGTTGAGGGAATACTTGATCTTCCTTGTTGACAGCAATCCTTCCTATATGAGAATGTGAACGAGTGTCATACACCGTTCATACACTATTTACACCAAATCTCATATCCTATCCAAAGCTCCTTACATTTGGCCTTTGACTGGGATAGGCATAGAGTCTACCCTTTCATGGATGATTATAACCTCAGCAATACATAATTTTTCATCCCCCCTCCTCCCGCACTTCCCATGATCACATTGATGCGTTTAGTCTCTCTGTACCCTTCAGGCTGTTTTCCCTGATATTTCCATTATTCTTATCGGATGAGCCTGTGCTGAAAGCCTTAACGCGTCTCTATTAAATACATAAATCCTGTCGTAGATGACCTCTCTCAAGACCCAGACTTATGCAATACTCTCAGGCAGGACTTATTTATTTGTTTTTTGAGGGGTCAAGGTTTGCCTGGTTAGCATGGCTCATTTACCCCCTGCTGGTAGATGTTGTAATTACATCATCTGGGCTCACAAAGCATATCTTTTCCATTGACAGGAATTCAAAACTCCTTTTGTATTTTGATTTTTTTTTTTTCAAGGAACATTTTTTTTTATTTCTTTGGCCTCTTCTTTTCCCCTTCACATGACAGCTGAGCATAGTCGCTAATGAAGGGGTTATTGTGGTGTTATTGGTCACATTTAGAGCTCAGGTGATTTGCTCAAAAATGTTTGTGCCCAGAACTGACACAGACACATTGACAAAATTCTCTCATCTCCTCATGCTGTTCCAAAGCTGCATGACTTCCTTCTTACTGTTTTAACCGTTCTGTCAATACACTGAAAGTCATTGAAAATATTGGAAAAATAAAACTTAAATATTTTCTTATTATATATCTTATTTTGTCAGGGTTGCCAGGTCCCAAAGATATTTCCAGCCCAAAACTGACTCAAAACCCACCCAAAACTGTTATTCTGTTTTAAATTTTATTTGAACGATTTCAGATAGCCTAGCTTAAATGGAATATACTTTTTTAAATTATTATTTTATTTTATGATTATGTTTTTAGGTAGTTTGCATGATAAATTGTTTAAAATGTGAGATATAACAGTGTCACAACATGTTTCACACTGACATAGCTATCCGTACAATTCCATAAGCTTATTTTTGTCATAAAATGCATATTGTCCTTTCACTTCATTAAAATACTCTGTTTTCTGATCTCAGTCAAGACCATTATTAATAGCCTACATACTCTTCTCCCTTCATCGACTCTTCTTCTCTCTACATTCACCCTTGTTTTGTCTATTCAAGCATCAATGAGCAATAAATATACAATGGCACTCTCAATTAACCTGCCTTGAAATTCCTGATGTGGTTGAAACTCATGTAACCTCTTGTTTGTGATGTGAAATCAAACGTGCCTTCATACAGCCTCTTCCTCTTTCAGTGGTCCTCAGGTTGGGATGTATTAATTCCTAGGATAAAAACAGATTAGTAAAATGAACTATTTTAATTTTTCTTTGACTACAAATAAGCGTTTTGGCAGCCATGGTACATTATAAAAGTAGCCACTTTTAAAAAGAGCTCACTGTTGGGGTGAACTGTTCATTTAAGATAATCACATGTTTATATGTATACATTTCATTAGCTTTTTCTGGATGATTTTTAACTTAAATGATTTTTTGTATTTTTTGGTTGTGTGAATATTGAAAATAAATATTGAAAATAAACCGTAGAGTCTTCCTCCAGTTATCAAGCTCTCTCTACAGATGGCCATTAGCCTCTTGAGCAGCTGCTACTTTTGCTCCACGGAGACCAACTCCTCACATCTCCCATACAGCTCCACACCTGAGGTCTCCTTAACACACATGAAGTATGACAATGGCTCTTTTATAATAAACCTCTCATTTCAGCCATGCACAGTCTGGATACAGGCTCTGAGCTTCCCAGAGAGGCTTTCACACTACCCAGAAGTCATAATTTGAGGAAAGCACACAGTCTTTTCTAGAGTCACACAGTGGTTGATCATCCAATTTAAACCAGGACTTTGAGTCATCCTTTGATTCTATGAAATAACATGATGGTGGACGGCTCGGATCAGTCCATTGTCACAGCAGATTTGTGTCCTTATAGCCATCAAGTTTGGGCTATAGATGAAAAAGTAGTACAAAACCCCACACACATTTACTTGCGTTTTATACACACTGAAACGTACAATATTGACACAGTATTGACTGCATGCACTAAAAAATAAATAATTTACGTATGAGCAAGTTTTAGGTGTAAAAATGTGTACAAATCGTTATTTATCAATTTTATCAATCAATTTTAAATATCAATTATTTATCAATTTAAATAATTAAAGAAATTTAAATTAAAGATTGCTGCCCCGGGAAGCTTTAACAACTTCGTTAAAGTTTTAACAACTGCTTCGTCACAGATTGTGACATGCTGTGTTTTGGTTGATGTGTGTTTGAATGTTGATGTTCAATGATGTTGACATTTGAAATCACCAAAGGAAACACACCCCTATCTTGATGCCTCCGACCTTGGATCTTTGAGAACTATAGATTACATAAAACTTTGCAAAATAACTACTGGTCGACCTCATTTCAAATAGATAAAAGATAAACTAGACAGATTTTTAAGCTAAGTTTTTATTTTACATTCTTATTTTTGACATTTATATATATATTTAATAAGGCAGACTCAAGACTCAAATTCTTCTCTAGACTCAAATTCACAATCCACAAGTTGTTTTTAAAGAGTGTTGACATCTTGGTCTTGTCAGCCACCCTGGCTTTAGAATTTATTAAAAGTGAATACATTTTTGTTATTAACTTTTTAATTGATAAAATCACTCTCCCCATACTGCAGCCAAGACAGTCTCAACAAATACTTTTGGGAACAATTGTTTTTTTTGTTTTGTTTTTTTAATGTAATTTTTGATTGAATTTGATTGATTTGATTTTAGAGTATAACTGCATCAACTTATCAGTAAAACAAGATAATTTAGAAACAGTGAATTATATTTGTTCATGCTTACAGAACACCTACACTCTTAGAAAAAATGGGTCATTGGGGTTCTATATATGAAGCATACAAGAACTGTTATTTTGAAAACTATAAATTATGAAAATTATGTGATTAATGACTCACCCTCATGTCGTTCCAAGCCTGTAAGACCTCAGTTTATCTTCGGAAGACAGTTCAAGATATTTTAGTCAGAGAGCTTTCTGTCCCTCCATTGAAAATGTATGTAAGGTATACTGTCCTTGTCCAGAAAGGAAATAAAGACATCATCAAAGTAGTTCATGTGACATCAGTGGGTTAGTTAGAATTTTGAAGCATCGAAACTACATTTTGGTCCAAAAATATAAAAAACTTTATTCAGCATTGTATTCTCTTCCAGTTCTGTTGTCAATCGCGTTCAGTGACGCTGCTGACGTGTTCTCTAGGTCTGCTAGCTGCTTCACCGCGTTGACAATGAATACAAAAATGAATGAAGGATAATTTTTTGGCTTCAGTTTCTTAAAAAGATGAATCTTTCCCGTAGAGTAAGCTAACTTGCGTAATACGAGAGAACCACTCGTTAAAAAACACTTCAGCAATGTCTTACGTCATCAGCATCACTGAATGCGGATGACAACAGAACCGGAAGACAATTCAATGCTGAATAAAGTCGTACTTTTTGTTATTTTTGCACCAAAATGTATATTTGATGCTTCAAAACATTCTATTTAACCCACTGATGTCACATGGACTACTTTGATGATGTCTTTATTACCTTTCTGGACAAGGACCGAAAGCTCTCGGACTAAATCTAAAATATGAGGACATGATTTTGGGGTGAACTACCCCTTTAAATTTATGTATGTTTTGTGCCTGTTATTTCAGAGATAAATACAATATGACAGACAAGCAACTGAAAAAAGAGAATTTCTTTCTCAGAAGGCAGGAAGGCACGCTTTATATGTTCTCCTACACCATTGGCCTTTGCCTACTGTGAGAATTGTCTTCCTTTTGAGACAACATCAGCATGGGACCAGCACCAGCCAGAATGCAAATCTCCCAGTGATTATTGGGTTATTGGGTGGCTAACACAATGAGAGAGTGTTGATCGGTGTGGAGTTGATGCAAAGTGTTAGAACTCTGCTCTGTACAGAACAGAACTTATATTATCGGCTTGCCGGTTCCCTGTGAGTTCTGCGTCTGGAACGAAAGACCTCCACTAAACCTGATGGTGACCACTCAATGCCAGTCCAATTTCTAATTCTGTATAGCCTTAAGTCCCCACAGAGCCTCACTTTCGAAAAAATCAAACCTGCTGTGAGGCTGATATAGTTTTCCAGGCCCTCGGCATGATGCATTACTGTGTCAATTAGCTTCTGGAAAGCTTTCCTAGCTGCCTCACCATCACATGGTGAGAAGTCATGCTGAAAGACTAGTACAAATCCTTGCCTATTTTATATCTTTGTTTTTCCTTCTCCCTTATCTTCTATTTCCTTTTCTTATCCATTCTTTTTTGTAACTGCCTAGTCTGTGCTTCATCCTCTTCCTCTTCCGTATCCAATAATAGTCCAATGCATTAACCCCACAAAAAAATCCAAAGCAAAGGAAACAACAGCACATCACAATTATTCACAGTTTGACTGTGGCACTACTGTATAAATACTCAGTACAGATAAAATGATGTGTAAATAAACAAAGTAAGTGACATATTTTTAAAAACATTGTTACTCACACTTTTGTGTTGCAACTTTGCTGTCGGATCCGATATAGTCGGCACTGCATTATCTTTTATTTTCAGTCTCTCTGAAAAGTATGCGCTGAACTGTGTTTTTTGTTTAAAAATATATCAGCAGTAAAATAAAGCGAGGAAAAGAACAGTTTCTTACTGCCTTGATCTGGAACTTCAGTTCTAAAATTAGGATCACAAGGAAGGCAATGCAATGACTGTGTCTTTCATTACACTTTTACGTCATACTGTTATAAAATCTAAAACGAGTCATTTTCTGTACAATTACATTTTAGAGTAAAACGACCTCTTGTATTTCAGAAGATTTCATCTCTCAACTTATGACCACTTTAATTCAGCCTTAAACTTTAAAGGTGCCATATGCATTTTTTAGCGGCCTCTATCGGTGATGTTTCAGATTGCAACCAATTATTACAACAGTGCTCGTGATCTTGCGCGTGCTCGAACACAAGAGCGAGCACTCATGGTACACGGCCACACTGAGACTTTCAACACACCGGAGAAAGCATCACACAACATTTGTAAACTTATGTAAACTCCCACTTCAACATTACAATAATAGGCTACTTTTATCAGCTTGAGCGCGGATGCACGTCACATCCGATGGATTTCGCAGAAAATCTGACCCGGAGACTTCACATAGAAATAGGAATACTGGCTTTCAGAGTTAATAGCAAAACCCGACAAGTGGATCATTGTAATGTGTGATTACAATTCCTTCACACACTTAAAAAAAGGATTAATTTTAAAAGAAATGTTGCATGTAGCACCTTTATATTGTTTTTTTCTTCAAATTGTAAACCGTTATTGCTTCCTAATTCGGTCACAGTATTTAAAAATACTGATTCTGAGATTGGCCTGTCTTCATTTAACTGTTATCTGGATAAATTAAGTTATGAAATTAATTTTCATAGGTAGTGGCTACAGAAATGGCAAAGATGGTCCAAAGCTTTGGGCTAAAAATAATCTGAATAAATGATCAAATGTGTTACAATTATCCCTCCCTTTTCTTTTTTTCTAGATTGGCTCTGTTTGACCATAAATCCACATCGTTAATAGTTCTTGTGATCTGTTTCTTCTTACAGTCTATGGTTTCTTCTCAGTTTTTTTTTTTTTGGGAATAATTTTGAAATTCTTATCTTAATTCATATTTTTCTGTTCTACTGCTGAACCCTTTATCTTATCATGATTTTGTCGCCCTGCAGAACTGAAGCATGAGATTCTGGTGTGGAGGCAGACAGCCCATCGCATTAACCCTGCCAGCCGAGAGGAGACTGCCGTCAAGTGTCTTCTCATGCAGAAGGTGCTCAATCTGGAAAGCCTTCTGCGCAAGCAACTCAAGACCTTCCAGAGGTGATACACTCATGCTCAGTCCATTCTTTTCATCGTCTGTCTGGTTAAAATGGAAGCTGTCTGTCTACACCGATGCACAAAGAGTGTTTTAAAGGGAAAAAAACCCTTTATGAATTTGATCAATTTCTGCCAATCTCATGTTAATCTTGAGTACCTATTGAGTAGTATTGCATCCTTTATATCTCTGAAGAGTCTTTAGTTTGATTAATAAAAGACAGATATGCTGTATTGAGTCTCTCCGAAAACAGCTGAGCTCCTGGAGGCGTGCCTTGCAGCACTGCCGATGGCTTCCGTAACCTGATCTTGCACGTTGATGGGTGCGCGCTTGCTCTCGCTTTGGTTGATGTGTGTGCACGCTCTTCCGGGAGAAGTGCCCAAGGAATTCCACCCTTTTTGACATCATACAGGGCCATACTCAAAAAAAAAAAAAAAAAAAAAACTTTCTGAAATGTATACAAAAAAAGGAGTGTATTTGGCGCAGAAATATTCTGTCAGAAATCCAACTATTTTTTTTTTCAAACTTTCGTCATGTTTATCATGAGAATCCAACTCTTTAACAGTGTTAATAAGTCAGAATGCATGAAATAGCATTAGTCATCCCCTTTAAAATCATGGATTTTTTGGTTCTTGTTTCAATGGCTGATTTTTTTCCCACTTTTTTCACTTGTGTTGTCTAAATTTCATGAGGATAGTGGAAACAAATTGAAGAAAACAAATTAAGCTACACTTATATTCAAGATCAGAGCATGACATTAACACTCGCCAAATGCGTGTGGATTTCAGCAATGGCATATAACGCAGTCATTCCTACTAGCCACCTTGGTGGGTTGAAATTTACATATAATATAATTTATAATTTACGTATAAATTGTTATCAAAAGTGTTGTCAAAAATATAGATTTTTTGATACAGATCAATGCTGAAATATCTGAAATGCTTCCAATGCTCATTTTTTTGCTGAATAGACATACAATACCAGCTCCGCTTTCTTAATCTCTCATCGCTGCGACATTGAGTTGACACACAAACCCGCCTCTACTCACTCACTTGTTTCATTTGCTTTTCGTGAATATTGGTGTTACAGGGCTTAAATGTCGGCGTGGGATTGTGCATAGTTTTACTCATTCCTGCAGATTTTATGCACACACCCAAAAGTGTGCGCACATAAAGTCACCTCTCAGTACTAAAGATTTCCTTTTCACTGCTTGTTGTGTTTAAACAGTCAAAAACACACAAAAAAGAATGTCATAATGTCAGTCTTGGCGAGTATTCACGTAAACACAGTCAGGTATGTTTTAAGTGAACATAAACATGTGCAGCAGTATAATGGATCTGTATGTCAGGCCTTACCTGCTGCCAAATTATGAGATAATATTAAAAATATCTATGTGACAGTTTTCCCCCATAGTATCGATGACAAAATTGTGGTCAGTGAAAATGCTGAGTGGCTAATAACTTTGGAAAACCACTAGCCACAGTGGTGAGCAAAAAAGTTAATGTCAAGCCATCCAAGATACATTCTCAAAGTCTCAAGCCTTAAAATATACAGTCATTTTGATATTGAAAAACGTATTAAGATAATTGTCTTGGTATCAGATCACTTGAAAACACTTCAGGTCCAAAATATAGGCCTATCCATTCCCACTGCATGACACCCTGTCCCACCTGTTGTGTCTGACAGTAGCACATGCCCAGATGCACTAATGAAAAATAATGAACCTGTAAAAAAAAAAAAAAAAAAAGGTAGCTATTTGTTCTCAATTGTGTAGGCCCTCTAAAGTTATTGTAGAGAGCTGAAATTTTAATCAAGCAGAATAATTGTGTTCTCAACAGTATCTTATATATATTTTTGTTATCATAAATGTTTCTTTTAACTAAAGAAATTGGATTAGTTCTGCTTGTGATTTTGTGGGTCTTGTGGTTTGCTTTGATGAGAGAATGATCACAGAAGCCATTTATAGCCCCACATGCTGAGTAGAAAAGGTTTGTGGTGACCACATGAAGTCATCTCTTCTTTTCATTTGCAGATGTCCATGCTGGCTGAAAGAATGTATTAACACACTCCATTCTGTTTTCTTCCTTTATTTTCACAGGCAAATATCACAGGAAGACAAAAACTGGGAGCAAAATATTCAAGAACTGCAAAAAAAGGTAAAACAAGGCTGCATTAAGATTAAGTGTTGTACAGTCTCTGCTAACCCTGCCTCTTTACGATGATATTTTATTAATTGAGAAGAAACCTCCAGTGGTGTAAAGCGTTTATCACTGGTTCTCAAATAAACAAATTTATTCATTCATTTTGTACAAAAATAAACAAATTGTCCTTAACACATTTACAAACAAATTTACATGTATTAATGTAAAATAATATTACTATTAACTGCATACGTATGACTTTGACTTTATAGGGAAATTTAAAAAAAAATAATTGCATAAACAACTGCAGAAGTGTGTACAATGTTTATAGTTTTGTTACTAAACATCAATTAATATTGCATGGTTTTATATTTGATTAGTAGCCAATAATTCACTGAAACATATTGTGGTTAGGACACTTTATCTTTAGGCTTGTTGAAGTTTAATCTGAATGGAATGTACTGTTTAAGGTTATGTTGTATTAAATACCTTTTATTGGAGTTTAATTGGACACATGACCTTTGATGTCATAAACAAAAGATGCTTCGATGTTCTTTCACAGCATTTCTTCCCTTGTAAAAGTTCACCTGAAAAGCTAACTATTTACCATTGCATGATTAGAATTATAATATTTGCAATTTAGCATTATTTTTTTTTTTACACTCCCATAAGTGATCCAATTTGAACAGACCTGTGGATTGCAACCCATCAGAAACTCTGGTTTAGAGGGCATAGTTATTAGACATGTTTATTTCTGTCTTGTCTCTAAAACGCATCTTTCATGGTCTTTTATAGCACAGAATAACTGACAAAATCCTCCTGGTCAAGTGTCTGACTGTCCTTGGATTGGTCATCTTTATGTTCTTCCTGAACTCTTTTGTTCCTGCCATACATCTGGATCTGGGTAAGAGAGAGACAAACAAGGACATAAATAATCAGGCTTCATCCGTTTCTATTGCTGAACTGGCCCTGCTGTTTAACACCTTACATTGTAATTATGAGGGCTTGTTTCCTCTCTGTTTAAGCAGAGGAAATGGAATCACAAGAATACGTTGCTATTTTGAAAATTATCAAAAAATTATGATATTAGGGTTCATAGAATAAAAATAGAGAAACAAACGTTATTCTAATAAAGCTTGGCACATCCTCCCATGATCTAATTGGTGCGTGTATAAATCCGTCAATGTGTTGATGTGGTAATTGTTTGCAGCTGGGCTTTAAATGTAGAAAGAGACACAAATGCAAAGCCACAACAATGGCGTAGCGTGAGATTAAATAAGACAGCTAGTATTACTCACCCCAAAATAAGTCTTTTATTTCTGTTTTAAATTTTTTTCTTCCCACCACACAGACATCCTTTTTGCTCTAGCTTGGTCGAACTGGTTAATAGACATGTTATTACACGGTGAATGAGATGTCAATTACTGATAGAAATGAAATTGAGAACTTCAACAAACATTATTAGTGGGTACGAGTTGATCAATCAGAAAATGCCTGACCACACAGCTCTCTTATTGTTCGGGTCTGATTGTGTATTGATAATCAATTCTCACTTGTGGACAGTTTGATCTTATGGAGGCATGACACATGAATATTACTTTCAAAATGATCATAATTAACATCTCTTCATCAATACAAAATCATGTTTTGATGGTTTCCGCAGCTGTTTACATAATTATTTGGCACCGATCGCAAAAATGATCACTGTACATTTCATTTAAAAAAAAAAAAAACCCAGTGTGGTTCTGCTTTCAAATTCTTCTCAGTTCCTCCTCCTGATCAAAACCAGGGTCGTCCAGCATGGGTTGCAAATGACTGTCATTAGACTTTCATTAGGTTGACACATCACCACTCCATTTGACCTTTTATATTGATTATTTAATCATGGGCGAGGATACAGTGTGCCTGCTGGAGAGCAATGAAGCACACAGGATACACTGCGCTCACAGAGCACCGCACGACTTTCCAACAAAAAGCACATTTGTGACAATTAAATGATTCTTAGGCCCCAAGGCCATCCATTTCCCAGAAAAAAAATATGTAATTACAATTTGATTATTCTATAATTGACTAGAGAACATTAGCACATTTCTATGAACAACATTAGCAGTAACAGTGCATCTGGGGAGTTTTCACGATTTTAAGTCACTCAAAGAGTGTTAAGAGAAAAAAAGGCTTTGAATGGTAATCTCTATAGGTTCTATAGTAGGAAATATATCAATTATATTCTCATTGTGCCTTTACTCTGAAAGTAAAGTTATTTAGATACTCTTAAAAAAGTTTCTTAGAATACATCATGCTACATTTAATTTAAGAATCTTGTGTTAATCATTATTTGGTTATGTGGTTAGAGGTCAACATTTGTCAAGTCATTTTTTGTTTTTGTTGCAGTAAACTTATTGATTTGACTGTTGTCTCGGAATATACCGACACTTAGTGCAGTGGATACAGTATTACAAAAAAAAAAAAAAAAAAAAATTCGGATATTGTAATTTAGCATGGGAGAAATACCTTATTCATAGTCAGTCATGATTAATTAATTCCAATGTAAAATAAAGCAGCTTTAGGCTATACAGTAGATATGTCTTGAGTTTAAACATGTATGTGTTTAAGTTTAAATGTCGAGTTTAAACTTGAGTTTAAACTCTTGCCTCTCTAACACCATCAACTTTACTTTTAACATCGGTTGTGATGCATCTGAAGGTATGCATATTGAGTTTTGGTCATTTTTAACCAGAAACTTTTCCGTACTGTGACTATGAAGTATTATTAATTTATTTAAATTTAGATAACATTTCATTTAAAGGGGTGATGAACTGAGAAATCAAATTTTCCTTGAGCTTTTAACATCTAAGAGGTCGTCATATTATAAGAATATCCTGTAAGTTTCAGAACTGAAAACGTCCTTGTTAGTCCAATAAAAGCTTTTATTGACACCAGCCCCAGCAAACGACTTTTTTTTCAAAGTGGGGAACTATGACGTCAAAGAGGATAAAACACGACCCTCGCAGAAGAAGATCAACGCCTACTTCAACATGGCCGGTTTAGCCCCACCCACCGATTCACGCATTACACGCACAGCTAAATAACATACGCCTACCTTGTGATGACAAACCGGATCGAGCTACCGAGCGATACAAAATATTGAGCAGTGCCTTGTGGAAGAAGACAGTCGCTGCATATGCTTCCTCTGGATTCCAATAGGATTTAATGGATAAACTTTATTTTTAATGACGTTCCAGCTGATGAGGTAAAACATTGTCCGTCTGTTGGCTTCATTTCACTGAGGATTGTTTTGTAAGCAAGACTGGATTTGCGATTAAGAGTAAAGAATGGTGCTGTGCCGTCTATATTGGATCTGACAGGAATTGTGCAACACACGGACTCTGGGCCGAACATGTATGGAAGAATCATTCCGGTTGCCATTTTACAACATTGGATGTTTTCAAAACAATTTCCCCCAAGTGCATCGACGAGTGAGTTGAAACCCATTATAATATGCAAAACTGTTTACTTCCAAGTCTTCAGTGCGAGACGCCCATAAAACACAAGCATTTTTCAGCTAGGCTCAAAACTAGGTTACAAAATAGCCTATTACTTATTCATTTTGATGTTTTTGAATGCAAAAAACAAGCAAACGTCATAAGTTGACCTCAGACAACAATATAATAAAATTTTTAAAAGTCAGTTCGTGACCCCTTTGATATCTGGAACACATGCATATTGGATATTACTAATGTATCTCAGCTCTTGATATAGTCATTTATTTATAAATAACTAAATTAAAAGAATAAGACATAATTTATCTCCTGGGAAGTACAAAAGCTGTACCACCAAATAATGAATGAGGAAACAGAGGAAGATTAATCAAAGTAGAAAACACACAACAGCTCATTTCTTTTTGGAAGATCCACAGAGAGAGAGAGAGGGTTCTTTATAAAAGGGTGCTTGTGAAAACACATTTGCTTTAAAAAGAAGAACATGATGAGGTGGTGTTTGTGTCTCACTCAACGGTCTGGAATGCCTGTGTTGTTTTGGGTATGATGAATGAGCCTCCAAGGTTTCTTTCTTTGCAAACTTCTTTTAATTGCAGAGCCCTTTTCTCTCTCTTTTTCTTTCTCATTTTTCTGCTCTGTTTGTGCTGTGCACTGCTGAAGGCTCCCAATTCCTCCTCCATCTTCAGTTGGATGCCGTGAGGGAACACTGAAGCAGAAAGCAAATCAAAAGTTACTTTTTTTTGGATTGTGTTGTGACAAAACCGTCCCAATGCCAGTGTGGAAGAATTCTGGGATTCATTTCACAACAAGCATGAGCTACAGTGCTTGTGTGTGTGTGTGTGTGTGTGTGTGCCATCCAAATCGTTGAGCATAATTTACTCTTCGAGAAAAGGATGCTTGTATCTAAAAAAAGTGTCTTAAAGTCAGATGATCTGTCTGTCTGGTGGTGAATTGTGATTTATGTGTTGTTACTTTTCTCTGGAGAAAAAAAACTAATCCAACTGACGTGAAAGTTAACGTGAAAGTTTTCATGTTGTGTTTGACCCCAAATTCTACTTAATGCATCAAAAATATACTTATAATCAAAGGTGGACAAAGTACACAACTTCCTTACATGAGTGAAAGTACAGATACTACTAGTAAAATATTAAATATATAAAAAATATATTTAAATATAAAATATTAAATAATAAAATATTAATATTAAACATAATAGTCAAGTAAAGTACAGATACCCAAAAAGTGTGTACTGAAGTTAAGTATTCAAGTAAATGTAATTCGTCAGTCTCCACCTTTGCTTAAAATTTAAGTATTAAAGGAGAACTCCGGCGAACAATGAACCTTTGGTCTAATAAAACATCGGTACATAGTCAATCGTTCTCTGAGATTTGTTTTCATGATAATCGAATGTAAAGAGTTTTATCTCTAAAAACTGTTTAGCGTATAATGCTAGTAATGGGGGCATTGGCTAAGTAAAAAGAAATGGCTAGTTTATACCACTAACAAGGCTCAAAATAGCCCCACACTAACGCAATAACATAATGAGACTCCATACGTGCAAAACGAAGCATTGAGAATTTTGTAAGTGTACAGACCGTTTAATAAGAAGATACTTTATGAAGACAGTTCACTTCGCGTTCACACAGGAGCCATCTTAAAAAATAGTCTCGATAAGTCAAACCACGAACGTCGTGCTGAGTGATCTGAACTGTATGAAGTTCAACAAACTTCTGAACTGTATGAGCGGCGTTCGGGGATCGACTTATCGAGACTATTTTTTAAGATGGCACCTGTCTGTATACGCGAAGTGAACTGTCTTCATAAAGTATCTTCTTATTAAACGGTCTGTACACTTACAAAGTTCTCAATGCTTCGTTTTGCATGTATGGAGTCTCATTATGTTACTGTGTGAGTGTGGGGCTATTTTGAGCCTTGTTAGTGGTATTAACTGGCGATTTCTTTTTACTTACTCAATGCCCCCATTACTAGCATTATACGCTAAACAGTTTTTAGAGATAAAACTCTTTACATTCGATTATCATGAAAATAAATCTCAGAGAACGATTGACTCGGTACTGATGTTTTATTAGACCAAAGGTTCATTGTTCGCCGGAGTTCTCCTTTAAGTTGATTGTCCTTGATTTTTATAATCTTATGAGAACAAACTTTATAATCACAGTCTCAAAGAGATTAAAGCTTCATTATTTTCATTCTCCTGGGTTTTCATTAGATGAGAGGATATTCAGACTCTGATGGGAAATTGGAGTTTGATTTTGGAACTACAATTATTTTAAAATATCCATTTTGGGTATAAACCAAAAATGATAGTGCATGTCATTTTATAACAGCAAGGGTCAGAGTCTTATTTTTACAGTTAATTTCAACTTGTATTACGTAGCAGTTATGTATTAAAATTGGCTTTATGCCCAGCTGCACTACTTCCTGAACTTCAGCCAGCTCCTTGTTTCCTGTCTGCCATTATTGGCCAAATTGATTAATCCAGGTGTGCCTGACCTCAGTAGTCATGGCAACAATAATCAGACACACCTGAATTAATCAATTTGGCCAATAATGGCAGACAGGAAACAAGGAGCTGGCTGAAGTTCAGGAAGTAGTTTAGCTGGGCATAAAGCCAATTGCATCCTGATTGCAAAAATTGACATTACATTTTTTTTTGACTTTGAGATTCCCATAACCAGTTACTAAACTTTGTCTTCCATCATTTGGATATTCCCAACAACATTGCCTTTTATGATCTCTGCCTTGTTTAAATCAACCATCATTACCAACCCACCACAATTACAGTACATCTGTTTCCTCTCTGACTGCATCTGAACCCTTCTCTGTCTTTTTCTGTTTTCTCTTCCTGTCTTCTTTGACTCTTCCTCTGTTCATCCTCCTTCTCATCCCTTATTAAATGATTTCCCACAGGCAATCTCTAGCACTCACCTGTTTAATCAAATTTTGCTTGAATTGGAAACACTGTCTCCAATATGATTTATAGCATAGGCCTATCATTTTGTTTCAGTATTTACTGACCAGGGTTGGTCATAATCCCAAAGCATGTGTGCGTGCATGAGGTGTTTTGTGATAAATGTGGAAAGCATGAATAATAATGGTTTGACCATTGTCCAGGTTTTTTATTCATTTATTATTGAGGCACTTCACTTACTGGCATCGCTGGATGGAGTTCAAAGCCTCTGTCTGGTTAACAGGAATAGCCTTTCTGGTGGAAGTGGGGTCTTTAGATAATTGCTCAGTAATTCACTATTCTGCTTTGAGTGGTGTGGGTTAGATTTTGAGTTGACATTTATGGCTCTTTCTGATGTCACAATAATAGTGAGAATGGTGAGTTTTTCATGAATGCAAAGTTTATGCAGGCTAATAACGAAATTAAAATATCTTCCTTCACCTTTGGAGGAACATTCTTGCACACAATTATCCTTACTGGGCTTAAATTTAAAGAGCATTGGGACAAAATGTTATGGATGACCTCACTTTGCTCGGCCCAAGCAGTGGGTTTTGCTTTAGGACCCCAAAAAGTTCTTGTTTATCGACTTAATAAATAATAATAAACTGTCTTAAAGGGGACCTATTGTGTTTTTTACATTTTAAACTTTCTTTAGTGTGTAATGTTGCTGTTTGAGCTTGAAAAAGGTCTGCAAAGTTACAACGCACAATCCACTCCAAAGGGAGTTATTCTCTTTATCAGTATGCGCACTGTTTCTGAACTCCATCAAACGCCTTGATTGTAGTCTCGACTTTTCTTCGTCAAGTACATATCACAATAATCCTCATTTAAATATTTCCAGGCCAAGGCAAACGTAAAAACGAGGTGGTTGAGTCTGATTGAGGTGTGTTAATAGTGTGTTGAACATTGCGGTTATTGTAAGGGTGTGACATTTCCGAAACATGATCAAAGTGGTTGACCAATCACAGCACAATGGTCCAGCCGACCAATCAGAGCACATTGTGCTTTTTCGGAAAGAGGGGCTTCATAGAGACGGCATAATATCGCCTCTTTAAAATCAAATTTTGTAGTTGACTCATTTTAACTTTTTTTTCAATGCGTGTATTTTCAACGCATTCTCATCCTTTAGCGTCATATAGAACGCTATATGACAAAAACGGCGCTATACTACGCACATGGCACCCATTATCGTTAATATAACACGTGCTGTGATGGTTAGGTTTAGGTGTCGGGTAGGGTAGGGTAGTCTCATATTACGCTAAAGGATTTATGACGCCTTGGGTTCGCGTGAATATTAACGATAAAGGGTGCCATGTGCGTAGTATAGCGCCGTTTTGTCATATAGCGTTCTATGTGACGCTAAAGGATGAGAGCGGGCTGGTATTTTAATGTTGGCACCTTGTTATGCTCAATTTTACCATGTAACTAATACATTTATGCCAAAATATCAACAAATATAAACATTTTTATGTTTAATAATTTTCATTTAATTTGATTGTTTGCATTAAGCATTTTTTTCCCCATACCTTTGACCCACTTTTTTGATTGTGGCACCCCAGTTGAGAACCACTTCCAATGAGCCCCTTGGTGGTCACAAAACCTGGTTTCCTGAGTGTCCACCAGACAAAGGGCCTGTCTTGATATATGATAAAAATTTAATTTTGACCCCAAAGCTTTGATAGTGTATATGTGACCATCTGTTCAAAACATGCGGTTTCAAGGACTGAACTTGTCAGAGTCTGCACTACGTGTTCCTGTTTTTAAATCAAGGCTCAAATGCACTCATATACCCGCACCAATCGAACACCATAAACTGTTCAAGGTCTCATATTTGTATTCTTTGTACATTGAGGAGTTATATTCAATGGAAATATCAATACTGCATTAACAAATACATGCAAAATAACAAGAAATTACATTTTCCCTTTCACTGCTTTGTCTTGATAAATGATGACAATCCGTGTACTCGGGAATAATATTTCCTGGAACCATTTTACCTGGATGCTCTTCTTGTATAATGAATGTCCTCTTAATGGTTGCTCCTGTAAAACACAACCTAGAGATGATAATCTACTACTTGCACTTAAATACGTTTCAAAATCTGATCTTACTGCTTGTAAATGTTTCTCCCAGTATGTAAGCATTCATTAACTGCACTTATGGCTTCTGTTCGTTTGTCGTAACATTTGCAGCATGTCATTTTTTTTTTTTTAATGTTCAACGTCAAAGAGTTGCGTGTAATATGTAGGTCCAGGAATAAAGCCTGGATTTCTGTGGCTATTATAGTAAAGGTCAAAGGCTGACATGTGACGCATTACTTGTGCACAGCCCTGATCTCTAAATGGCATGCTTATTATGATGGACTTCCACCACCGCATGTGATGCAGCAGTATAACACTGGCCCACGTCCTGCCGTATTATCAGTCTCGCTTTAGTGACTCACACATTTTGTTCCTATCTGACATGGTGCATGTATTTATTCCAAGAGGCTTCTGGGAAACGGTACATCAGCTAGTCTGGCAATAATTCTTCATACAATCATTGTTAATGTCCTTTTTAATTTCACCTCCATTCTTGGTAGATTTTTCAGATTGATATTACTTTTTTGCTATATATTTACTGTTGAACGTTCATATGAAAATATATATATATGAAAATGTATATTTTTGAAAAATGTTTACTTAAAAATTCCCACCGAAACCCACTGACTATTTATGGACAAAACGATCTTTAAAATATTCTGTTCATCAAAGAACTAAAAAAAAAGTATCACTCTTTCCACAAAGATATTAAGCAGCACCACTTTTTTCAACATTGATAGTAAAGGAAAGGAAACTGACACATTTATGTTCTGTTCCGTTGTAGTTGCAATTCCCATCGTTTATTTAGACTGAGGTAATAAGATCAGTGTCGAACACATCACAGAAGCCTTTAATGAAGACGATCCAGTTACTGGCTTAGGCCTATTATTCTTACACCCTGACAACCCGTAGTCCATTGTGGCGTTGCAGAATTCCTGTGGTGTCAGTATATCGATGTGCAGAGCGTTTATGAGTCTGTTTGTGAGGTGGCTGGACTGTGTTTCTAATTGAATGCCGCTGTTTGGTCTCTCTCCCACTGACTGAGGTTTTGTGTGAGTGGAATACTAGATTTAGGACCACTGTGGTCGGCTGATTAGAATGTGTTTGTGGTCATGGGAAGGCAAGATAGATAGAGGCATAACATATGATTGATGCATTGCATTAACTACCGGTCGGCTGTTTTCCAGGATTCCATTATCTTAAATCCTTTACGTGCTACAACAGGAAGTAAAATTGCAGTTGTGTTCAAAGTGTTCTCGGTTCTTTTCCAGTGATCTTGGCTTGATGTACTGTTTTGTCCCTCAGGTTGGATCGCTATCTTGGGGGCTCTGTGGTTACTGGTGCTGGCTGACATTCAAGACTTTGAGATCATACTTCACAGAGTGGAATGGGCCACCCTGTTGTTCTTTGCTGCTCTTTTTGTGCTTATGGAGGTATGGTAATGCTCACAAACTGCACACAGACATGCTTAACCCTCTGGGGTCTAATGTGATTTTGGGGTCCTTGAGATGTTTTGACATGCCCTGACATTTGTGCTTTTTTTTTCGTTTGCTTACAAACATATTAATGGCACAGGTGAAATTATGCTATTTAGCACAAACAGGGCTACCATAATATGTGAGCAACATGTATGTACATTTTTGTATTTTTAAGAGAATATTGTTTATGCATGGTTATTGACAAAAAAAAGTTTCTGAAATAAGGAAACTTTATTTACTGAAACTTTATTTACTGAACATACTGAATATCTGCCCACAAGACTTTTGACTAATGGAAGTTGTCGAGTTTTTGCTTCAAAATGACCTGAAAATCATCCTGCCTAATCATTCACATAAAACAATAGATTTTTTTTAAATTGTGAAAATTTAAATTAAATTAAAATAAATTTAATCATATATATATAAATGAAAGTCAAAAGCACACTTTGTCATAACTGGAAACAAATCCTGTTCAAATAGGTTATTGGTTCAAAGATATAGTTGGAGACATCTTGAAAAGAAAATTGTCTTTTTACATAAATATCTTTAAAAAGTATTATTTTTTACAGTAGGCCAATACATTTTATCATACATATTTCAAAGTTAAGGATTCATTATTTTGATATAGCTTGCTTTGGAACAAATACTATGTCTATAACAGTTGATTAGTTTATTTTTGACAAAACATACTATATATTTTTTATAGTTTATTTAACAGCATAAACTGTCCAACAAAAGCTTATAGATGTCTATTTTATAGTAAAATCTTTATAATCTAGCCAAAACTAGTTGACGAAATGTTGTCATTACAGACACTGTTTTATATCGCGATTAGAGCAAATCTCAGTAGGCTAGCAATTTAGTTTGGATGTGTTCATGAAAAAAGAAAGTTTACTAATGCAGGAGCGAGAGTGAATAAACGCACAGATGCAATGTACATCTGTAGTAAACAACAAAGAAATATTTAATTGTGCATATAATAGTGTGTTGTTATGTTTATTTTTATGCATCACATTCTTAACTAAAGAGCGAGAAAGAGGGTGACTTAGAGATTGGAAGTCTAAGTAAGGGAAAAGTTAGCATGTCAGCAGCGTAAATGCTGGGTTTGCTGTTTGTGTTGGTTTAATCCTTTGTTTTGTAAGGAAGAGAGTATTCACACAGGGAAGACCACCCCTTGGGCCCAGTGGGGAGCTTAATGCTTCTCCAAGATAAACTGTTTGCCCTATAAAGCAGAGTCAGCATTCACAATCACGTATAGTGTCCACCACAAGCAGCTAGACAAAAAATAGATGAATTTTGACATCACACTTCCATTGTTTAAAGAATGGAAAATCAGGACTGTCAGATTAAATGTCTGTTGTTTAGTTTTTTTGGTCTATGGCTTTATTTTCTCTTTGGTGTATTTAAAGGCATTAGCCCAGCTGCAGCTCATCGACTACATTGGGGAGCAGACAGCATTGTTGATAAAAGTGAGTATTTGCTTTTTTATATATATATTTCCAGAAATATATGGAATCCAGGAATCTCCAGGGGTTTATAGTACCAACAATGGTTTTATACTTCTCTATTGTTTTAAATAAATAGTTATAATTCTCCATTGTTTTTAGTTTGATTTTCATTTGCGATGCTTCAAGGATTTGTTTTTTTTCCCCCTCATTGAAGTACACAGTCTTGTACTTTTGTTTTTTCGTCTGATTTTCAAAAAAAAAAATCTTGCTTCATATTAAAGTTTATAATGATGTGATGAATATAAAGGAATAAATAGGACAAATCCAAGGCCCCTGAAAAAGTACACCATAATTCTAAGAGCACTGTACACTGAACACTGTAAACCGGTCAAATGAACCTCATTAAAAAATGTGGCTGGCTGAAATTATTGTTATCTTTTTGATCCAGTAGTGGGGCTGTGTTAAGTCATAAATAGAGAGATTTCACTGGCCTGGAAGTGTCCAGCTTTGCCTGGCTGGCGATCACACTCTGATGGACCCGTCAGCTTGTGTTTGGTGTGTGGGCCTTTTACAATCACCGTAATTATTCGTGACAGGTGCTGCTGTGGAGCTCTCATGCATTCAATCCAATCATCAGCACCAGAACCCCTAAAATCTGACCATGTACAGTAGATAAACAACCATAGAGAAGAATAATGGGGAAACGACTGAAACAAATCCACGTTTTAATAAAAAGCGTCCGTACATGCATATAAAACAGCGTTACGGTGTTTTTTTCACAGATAATATCAGGATGAAAAACAGGCATATGGTTAGAAAGTGTGTTTATTTTTGCTTGTGTACATTTATGGTGTTGTGTTTTGGTTTATGAAAGCAACAGACCGTGAAATAATGAATTCAATGTGACTGTGTCATGAACACATTGTCTGCAAGCCTCCCACCTTTGTGTTGGCATCTATAGGCCTTGTGACTGACAGAGAGATGGGGCTTGTGTATGTGTGTGTTTGGTTGTGACATATTTTATTGTTATCTTCTCTCCCAGGCAGTGCCAGAGGATGAGCGGTTGGCCATCGCCATCATTTTGGTCATGTGGGTCTCAGCGCTGGCCTCCTCTCTTATAGACAACATTCCCTTCACTGCCACTATGGTAAGAAACACACGCACTCTGTCATTTATTTGCTCATAAACCAAAGATAAGACAAAACTAGCTCTAAAATCACACCATCTTCTCCATTATATTTAACTTTTTATTTTTAAGGTTGCATCGGCACATTCAATTTAACTCCTGCAAACAAAGTAAAATGTAAATGTAAAATGTAGAAGACGGGAGCTGTTGTACATTTATAAATTAATTAGAAATCTGTTTTTTTCAAATAGTTTTAGAGCATGTCACGCTGCAGGACACTGCTGTCACTGCTTGTCATGTCGTGTCAACTGCCCATGTTCTGTTGACAAATAGGTGAAAATTTGTCCCTGGTGCATTTTATCCTCTATACGTGTGAGGAACAGTATAGTGAGTGATGATGTGCTATCAGAGCAGTGCATGAATCATGTGTATCATGAAGGAACACGTGCTGTGAGCTGATATGATGAACATGCCACCAAACAGACAGAGCTGTGCTGCCAATCGCTCACTGCCAAATGAGCAGAAGGGAAGAATGCAGGGCAGATGAAGAGACAAGTCACTCCAGAAATCACTTAGCATTTCAAAAGCCTTTTCATTTCCTCCTTCTCCAGCATTTTCCACACGTTTCATTTGATCTGTCTATTTTGCCCTCTTTTCTTACTTGCATTCTCTCTTTCTCTCGTCTCTCATGTGTAGTAGGGATATGCAAAACTACATATTTTTAAAACTAGTTGTTAGGTTGCTGAAAGACTAGTTGATTCATTTAATTAGCCAGTTAATCTGACCCTGATTATATATGTCTCTTAGGGAGCTTTTACATAAAGGTCTTAATGTTCGACTAGTCGGTTGTTGGACTAGTTGACCACTGGTTGACCAGCAGCTCTCTCATTTTGTCTCATTCTCTTTCTCACTGCCTGTCTCTTTCTCTCGCTTTGTCAAAAAAGAAGAGATAAAGAGGGTGAAATGGACTTGGAGCTCAGCATACACCTGTGGTGGTAATGGATCGCATTGATTTTGCAGGACTTGTCACTGTATAAATACAGAAAAAAAAAAACGTCTCAGCAGTGCCCTCTAACAATCTGAATCTTAAAAGGCCATGCAGTTAGAAACACGCTTAACTTCTGTTGAGCACAGAATGTACCTGTTTCGAACTCCACCAACAACAAAAATCAGCATGAATTCAGTTATTTTGAACTGCCCTCTTGAAAAGTGGTATGGATGCTAGTATGCTAGTATCAGACCTCATAACTAGCTTAACCAAAAAGTATGATTACTGTTACGTAAATCTCATTGCTCATGTACTTTAAAAGGGTAGTTCACCCAAAAATGAAAATTATGTCATCAATTACTCTCCATCACATCTTTTCAAACCTGTAAGACACAAATTAAGATATTTTTGATGAAATCCAAGAGCTTTTTGTCCCACCCATAGGCAGCATCGTCATTTGGTCTTACGTGTTTAGAACGACACGGGCAATTAATGACAGAAAATCTATTCTTGGGTGAACACTTTAAAGGGTTGGTTCACCCAAAAATGAAAATTAAGTCATTAATTACTCACCCCCATGCTGTACCAACCCCGTAAGACCTTCGTTCATCTTCGGAACACAAATGAAGATATTTTTGATTAAATTTGAGAGCTGTATAACTACCACATTGGCTCCTAAAGGACTGCCTCTTGACGGCCCAGAAAGTCAATGAAGAAAATGTTTAAATATCCCAAGTGACTACCGTGGCTCAACTATATGTTTATCAAGCGACGCGAATCCACAAGTTTCCGAGGGGCGCTCCTGTAAAAAATAAAGTGGGTGAAACTTCCGGTGACGCGGCGGAAGTAGCATTCCAATGGTATTTTGTGTGTTAGTTAGCGAAGAGGCTAGCTGTTTTTCGGAGAATTATTTTACTATTTAAAGACGCAAATCTTTATGAGAGATGTCGTTACGGAGCTCAGGGACAACATGTGCTGTTCGCGGTTGTATGTATAATCGGACTAAACTAGTTTAGTGGCTTAAACGGGATTGTTTTGAACATAAGCTGAAAACGAGCCAGTCTCTGATCCTGCCAACGACTGTAGTTTCCATCACCTCCAAAAAGACGACGAATCTTCCTGTGTACATTTGTTTAAATTCTTAATGTTCTATAAACTCTATCAGCCTGTGTTTGGCTGTTCGCTACTAACTCAGGATCAAAGCCTGTGTTGACAGAATACCAAATGTGCCAGTTAATGTATTCAAGCAGCACATTCATTTATAATTTTGAATAAACTCCAAAGCACAATGACTAAGTGTGTATTTTTTATTTTAATTGTTTGTCAGCTCGCACAACTGTCTGTCACCATGCCTTGATGAGTATTGATTATTAATAATGTTATTATAATACTCCCAATCAACGACTGCGGAGGGTAAAGGTACTGTTATTTCACCCTTTTTCATTTCGTTGAGGTTGTGTTCCCACATCGTTAGCTAGTTTGGATCGCTATAACTTGAATCACTGTCAACTGTTGAATGAACGAGTGTCAAGCATGTCAAATCGCGCTTTGTTTACTTCCAACCGGAAGTCGCGCCCACTTTTGACGCAAGGCCTCATGGGGCGTAGGAAACTTGTGGATACTTTTTGTGCGAAAAAACAAACAAAAATAACGAGTTTATTCGACTATTTCTTTTCATCCTTGTAGGCCAGAAACAAGACTTCCTTAGATTTCCACGACGCATGCGCGAGAATTGCGATCTGCTTACACCAGCTTACCAGAGAAAGTCTAATATGACTGGCTTTGAGCTTACACTACTTCAGATCGCAATTCTCGCGCATGCGTCGTGGAAATCTAAGGAAATCTCGTTTCTGGCCTACAAGGAAGAAAAGAAATAGTCGAATAAACTCGTTATTTTTGTTTGTTTTTTCACACAAAAAGTATTCGCGTCGCTTGATCAACATTACATACAATTTTGAATCTTGAACAAATAGGCTAATATGATGTATGATTACCGAGATCATGTTTAAGATCTGCGAAAATGTTTCTATGCCACCTGTGTCAAGTTAGGATTTTCCACACAGACAAAATTTGCTATTTGCGCTCCACTGCAAACATAAAACTGCTATTTTCTTGTCAGCACAAGTGTATGGTTGCTTTAGCTCCTGGTGCCCTCTCATCCTCGGTGGTGATGCCACGGCTGAATGAACCGGATGGCAAATGTAGTAGAAAATGTAATCACAGTTGTGCTGTGTAATTTATTCAAGTCGATTGCAGCTGAAGCTGCTGTTAGCTGGGAGGCCAGCGTGTCGCAGACAAGTGGCTACACACTGAATTCTTCGAGGCAGGAGTCATTTTCTCCAAATATGCAATCTTTAAATTAAGCTACACTGGTAGATCGAATGCTTATGAGAAATGGATGCATGCGTGCTTCTTTTTGTCACCACAGGGATGCATGCTCTTCTTCTCACCATTATATGATCATGATAAGTATATCTATAGCCATTGTGGAGCCATAAGTGTTTTTGTCTTGTTTATATCTGTGTAGATTTCATGCCTGGGCCAGTGCAGTGAGGCTTGGCTCATACATTGTGTTTCATGAGGTTTTCATTTGCTGTTTTTTTTTTAACTGTGTGTCTGTGCAGAAAGAGAGGAAAAAGGGGGAACAAATCTAATGTCATCCACTATTGATTTTCTTGTTGACTTGTGCAGTAGTAGAATATGACTCAATCTGCTAATGGGTTGAACGGCTGTCAAAATTGTGGAATATAACACTCTTCATGACCATGACATTTACAATGCTTAGTTTTTGACAGATGACTGTTTGAAATAGGCATTGCGTAATTGTTCAGTCTTCATGTGCATTGCTTATGATCAGATTATTCATGCCTTGTGTCCATCCATCCATCATCTCATTTTGTCCCCCCCCCTCCCCCCCCAATAGATTCCTGTGCTTATAGACCTCAGTCAAGATGCTGATGTCAACCTACCAGTCAAACCTCTCATTTTTGCGTTGGCAATGGGAGCTTGCCTTGGAGGTCAGTTAATTTTTTTCCCCCCTGTATTATATTACTGCATTTTAAAATAAACATACTATTACAGCAACCTTGATTTAAGAGGTTTGATTCCACTGCCTTTAGCCTTTAGAAGACATCCTTCGTAGAATTTCATTTGAATTGCAAGCCACCTTCGCTAAGCAAAGAAATAATTACTTCGCCCTAACTTGTTCTGTGATATACAGTATACCTTATTTTATGCTTTTAATTAATATTTTCAAATCAGAAAACAGGCTTATTTTATTACATTGTGTCATCCCTAATAAGCTGTAGTTTTTCAGTGCCACTTGCTTTCAAAGCACAAGAGATTTTAATAGATTGTTCTACATTTACAAATGTTGTATGCTTACAAGGCCATCTGAAAATGCCTCATTGCTTGTTTGGCTCTAAGGACACGGAGAGAGTTGTGGCAGACCTACAGTCTAATCACAGGAGATGTGTTAGCTCTAGTATCGATCCATGGAATGCAAGGCAGGCTTCTGGTTTTGTTGTCACATGGACACCTTTTAAAATGTGAACATTTCATATCAAGACCATTCGTCTACAAGGCCAAAAAACATACTTTAAGAAATATGTCCTTTAGGAAATGACATATTGATGGCTGTAAACATGCCTTTAGAAACTTCAACCTCTATAAGACATTTAGGAATTAAACTGAAAATGTTTTGCCAATACTTTTGTGAAGGAAATAGGAATCAAGAGCCTTCATATTAGCCTACAAATTTTGTTGTATTTTTATTGTCTTGCATTATGTTGTAATTTGTTTAAAATATACATTGAAATAATGAATTATCATGCAGTTATGATTGTTTAAAACTATGCTTATGATCAAAGTTAACAATATATTGTTATATAATGGACTTTCTTCACTTACAATCCAAGACAACATAGAAAAGGCGTTTGAATAATAGGGGAATTTAAATTAAAACAGAATTAAAGTCTAAAACAGAAGCTTCCCATTTGCTAAAGGCACATCACACTTGCAGTTTCATCCCAGTTTTTCAAGTTTCATGAGATTGAGGTGTGGGATTAAATTTCTGTGAATCTCCCCCGTACTACAACTGATGAAGACACTTGGATCAGAGGCAGGACAATAAACTGAAGAACACGTCTAGACACTCCACAGTAAACATTTAGACATGCTATTGATGAATTGACGACCTCTGTCCTTCATCAGAAAACTATTATACCTGTGATTTGAGTTGGGACAGAAGTCCCTCTTTGTGTCATGCATTACCAAAGGACAAAAAGAAACCCTTAATCACCTCTGCAATTTAGCACTGAAGGTCATTTCATGGCTGACACTCTAACAGGAGTGATTGCACAGTGGAGAACTTTAAATTGCAATCAGCATAACAAAATCTGCTGTGCACATTGGCACCAAATCAATTCTAATATTGATTTATAAAGATCCATGTTTGTGCAGTGCTGTGTTTGAAGAGGACATGTAGTGCTATTTAAACATTTACAAAACCTCAGGATGTCTATGTTTATTCAGGCTATTAGAGTTTTCCAAGATAGTCATTCTTTTTTCTTCTTCTCTTTCTATGAAAGGAAATGGGACACTGATTGGAGCATCTGCTAATGTAGTTTGTGCTGGGATTGCTGAACAGCACGGCTATGGATTTTCCTTCATGGAGTTCTTCAGGTATTTATATTGAGCACAAATGTACTCATCCACTGGTTTTATTAAAATTAGAGTCTTTTGTGTCTAAATGTGGTAGGAAATTGACCTCAAATTCTGCACACATTTTCTGCTGTTTTTAGTGTCTTTTAAAGAGACAAGTCATATTTGTTTTGTATAGTCAATTTCACATGACTCTATATTAGTTGCTTGACATTTTGATCAGCTCTGTTTCTGTTTAAAGGGGACATATCATGCTAAATCCACTTTTTAGCCCTTACATTTTTTTTGTATATTTGAAGTGTTTGTAAGTACAGAAAAGTTGAAATTATTCTCTTCAGGTGCTTCGTTTATATCGTTATATTCTGTTTTGGTCATATTTTGCAACCTGTCAGATTTTTCTGTTATTTATGACATATTTTGAACAATTACGTTACAATATTTTTAGCGGAACTGACAAATACGGACATTGACTCCCGGCCCAACACTTCGAGCAATCCGCCATTTTTATTTCTTGCTCCGATTTTGTAGTCCAAACTCAATGATGCACTTTAAGCACTTTAAGGATTCCAACTTCAACAACCTCCACTTGTATACAGGGAGGTTTGGAAAGGGTTAGAAAGGGTTTGTCGATTGACTTCGTCTGAATGAGGGGTCAATTCCTTCTATCTTTGGAGACGAAGAACAGAGCATTTCGATAAGCTGTAAATATCGTTATATAAAATAATGTACTTTACTTGCTTAAAACACGTGGTGGTCATGGTTTAGCAGTACCTTAATCTTTCTTTGTTTTTGTTTTGAAGTAACCTTACACGTTTGCAGTATTATTGTTCTTGAGTTTCATCAATTGGCATTGTCATAGCTGCTGTGTTTTCTGATGCTTTTCAAAACGTACTGTATCATATTATCAATACAGATTTGTAGTGGTAAGATTAGACCGTAGTCATTTATCATGTTAGTGTGCTTGTTTTAACAAGAGAAATAATCGACTTTCACTTATAACACAATACAGTTGCATACCACTACAATACATCCATATGAAGACGTTGTTCTGCAGGTTCGTCGTCTTCTTTTTCAACTCGCTCGCTCTGGCTCGAACATGTAAAGCTTGATGGACAAGTCTTCCGTTGTTGTTGACAATTTTGTTAACGTGTGAATAAAAATTATCCTTGACTCTATATAATCGTATATCTCTAATCAAACTACAAAAATGGCCGAACGAGTGTGAAATCAGCGTCCTGGAGAGCGGGCGGGGTATGACACATCTCCTTTTTATTTAAAGAGGCCACTCCAAAACGAGTTGCTCACAGACGCACATCTGAAAAGGTGTAGAAAAGGGGCCTGTGGAGCTATAATAATGAGCAATTCAGACCCAAGCATTGCAGTTTCGCTTTATATAGACCACAAATGTATAATTTATATGTAAAAAGGAATGATTTAAAAGCATGATATGTACCCTTTAAGTGGGCAGTTTTTAGCCAGAATAAGCTTCAATGAGCACCCAACTCTTACAGGAATAAAAGTATTTTCCTCTTTGTCAAAACTAGCATTGCTAACAGATTGCTAAAATTACCCAAGCATGCTCTAGTAGAGTCAATCCCCTAGCTTTATATCCAGATGTTTAGCCTTTCATGTACAGTACTCTCATTGAAAGCTGTTGGCCAGTGGTAACTTACAGTAAGTTACACTTAGGAGGTCTGTTTCAGGGAAAACGCTGTTCACAAGCAGCTGCTTCTGGTTATGTTTTCACTTCTCTAGTCTCCACATTAAAAAAAATACACCATTTAAAAGTGGAGCAATATCAAAATCACAAAGAGAACAACAGAACCGTCAGTTACAATCAAAATGGCACCCAACACAAGCTCCTAATTTATAAAAATTGTATGTAATGTAAATGCTTTAGTCTGACTCATATCATACTTTCGGACTAACAGGAATGAGATAATGCAATTTTTAGTACAACTTTGTCCAGCATGTATACATTTTTATCACATTATAGTTGGTCTTGCTATTATGCGCTTGCTCTGAAAAACACAGACGACTATTTAATCCTTTAAATATTTGATTAGCTGTTGTGCCTTGTATGGTTGGACAGAGAGATGAAGACTGTAGCTCGTATATGCAAAAATCTGATCTAATAATATGTAAATGTACTTATTGGTTACTCTACTTTGTTTACTTATTGTCACTACCAGTGTTGACTTAAGTATGCAACTAGAGTTATAAAAGAGAAACACATCATACAAACGTTCTTGTAAGTCCTCTGTATTAATATAATTTGTTGTTGTGAACACACTTGTCATTACATGTTTCGTGTAAAATCAATGTAAATGGAGCATGTTCACCATGTTCCAAAAATATCCTTAAGTGTGCCTATCTTTTTAAGAAGTGACAGATCTAGTTTTAGAGAGACTCTTAAGACAGCTTGATTTCAAGCACTCTCTAGCGTATCAACAAATACATCTGAATGTGGAAAAGGAGCTGCTCGCTGATTACCTCTTGGTGAGAGGCTTGCAAAGATATTCACCGTCTCTTTTGATTCGGTTCTCCCTGCCTGTTAGCACCTGCTCGATGGAAGTGCTTTCCGTGCTCATGCAGATGCATACAGATATCTGGCTTTCTCCCAGTTGGTGGGGTGTTGGTGGTCAATGGTGAAAAAGAGGAACTTGAATGCACATCTGATTGGACTGTGGAATGATCCCGGTGGTAAACAGTGGGGTCTTTCAATCGCAGTATATAGAATATGAAAAGGACGTTTAGACATGCCTAGCACAGAGCCAGACATGAAGGCACTTTACACTTTCACTGATACCTTTGGGACTTTGTGTCTTTGGATTTACTTACATACAACTAACAGTTTGCTTTGAAAAGTGCTCAACCCCCTGTACTTTACATTGAGGCTTATTCTCTATTAATGTCTAACTAATTTTTATTTTATTTTATGTAATGTCATTTGCCAATAATGTCATTGAAATATCTTTTAAAAATGTATTTTATTTTTGTTGTTTAAATGTATTTTAAATTATGTTTATGCAATTAACGAGTTATGCAATTAAGTTGAGTTGATTCTGTTAATTATATTGGCATATTATATTTTTAATTAGATTATTATGTCATTAAAATATGATAATGTTAATAATTTGTAAATATTGTTTACATATTTGATGGTAACACTTTACAATAAGGTTAAATTTGTGTGTTTGTGAAAAATAGATATAGAAATATAAATAAATAAAATATATACACACAAATATTAAAATGTGTATTATATATATATATATATGTAACAAATACACAACAATACATAAAATGTATTTAAGGGGGGCCGGAAGGCCAATTTATCTCAAAAGGAATGATTCATTGATTTACAATGGAACCGAGCACTATGGAACCGAGCAAATGACTCTTTTAGAGTTCATTTGAACGGGCCGTAATTATAACCTATGCAACGGATATAAATATCCAATCTATAGTGAAACACTATGTATTAGCAAGGTAACTTTAGATCGAACAGTTCAAGACATTAAATCTGAAAGCACAACACAAGGCAAATCTTTTCAAATATGAACAAGACTTTCTTAGCTATTCTAAACACATAAAACTAATATCTAACGCACTCACACACACACATTCATACAGTCGCGGAAAGAGAGAGTGAGTTTTCAGAGTGAGATGTTGAAGTTTCAAGTTTCTATATGCACGTAAGACATGACCTGAACGAACCATCAATCATTCATTTAAACCTTCGTTTAGGCAGGTTATTCAATTTACATTAATGCACCAGTTCAGCTAGGAGTCTAGAGTACTTGCTTGTCTTTGCGTTGCTTTGGGAATTCCCTTTTTGCCGGTGTTTCGTCAAAGGGGTTTCCCGGGTCTGTTGCGTGGCTGTCTTCTCGCGCCTGGATGGAAGTTTCTGAGCTGCCAGTCACGTGGGTGTTGGCAGACGAATGAAAGTCTTTACAGTTCGAAGCGCGTTGCAGGAGAGACGTTTAAACGAAACTTTGCAACAAACTTAACTTTGAAATGAGGCTTTTACGAAAGTAACATGACATTAGCAATCCATCTTCATTTTCAAGCAATCTTTTTTTGTGGTTCTTTTGCTTGTCTGTCTGAGTGGCCATGGCACTTTTAAACCCTGAAACAGGAGAAATCAATGGCATTTGACATAGCCCAAGGCATCACAGCTCAACACAGGGAAGGAACAGGAGCTCAGTCTAAACTGCACATCAGACAGGGAGATAAGGTGGATCAATTCAAGCTAATCTTGGGAGTGAATCCAATCCATTCTAGAGTTAGCAAGAACCCCAGATTTCTGCCTCACACATTTTGAACAGCTGCCACTTGCTTCCGATTATGCTTCAGTAATGAAGCACCTCCACTAAGCCAAAGACCTGTTCGCTGCTTTCACTCATTAGATTCTCTCCTTCCTTGTTCTAGGGCCCATAGCACTGTCCAGAGGCAGGTAGAGCAGCTGGGTGACTTTGGGTTGAGCCAGATGGGAATGGGCTGGTGCAGCGGGGTGGGCGAGGGAGGAGGGAATCGCCTTTGGGATCTTATTTTTTTGGCAGTGCTAGGAAAACAAACAGGGCGGCAGCAGATGTTTGAGTAATTGCTCATTCATCAATAACCTCCCTCCTGCCTGATGCTCACAGAGAACCCAAGTCATCCTTATCAGCTGCTATCATATGAACAGCTTTTATACCACTTTAGGTACAGTCACAGAAATAGATAAATTGCGATGCAATCCTGGAATTTTTGCTTGTTGCATTTTGAGGCTTCATTTGAATGCCTTGTAATGGTTAGAACTTTGTGATGAATGGGTAAGTCCTCAGCTCAACCGGTAATTGGCTGATTGGTTGGTTGCTATGGGGATGAAGAGGGGGCTGAGACTTTCTCTTGCACTCTGGTTAGAACTGATAGAACACTGATCACAAAGCAGCTGATGTACCTCTACAATGTTCCTCTCCTGATTTGTAAACCAATATTTACACCGTACTTTAAAAAAAAAAGCTTAAGGAGCTGTA